ACTGACCTCGTTCAGATTAGCTGTTTGCTCAGATCTCCAGCCAGAACCAATCTGTGTTTCTCCAAACTGAGGTTGTTCATGCAGGTAACATAAATTCAAACCTTTTGTTATTTCAGACACATTCCTGGTTTTGGGTAAACATCTTTTTTTTTAACAGAAAAGTCTGCTTTCTTTCATCTCAAGAACATTGCCAAACTCCGAACATACCTCTCCCTGGCAGATGCTGAGCTCGACCATATCTTTGTCTGCTCCAGGCCGGATGACTGCAGTGTGCTCCTTGTTGGAATTCCTGGCAGGAGCATCCAGACGCTTCAACACGTTCATCACGGTGCTGCCAGGATCCACTCTCTTCACTGGCTCCCATTAAATACGAGGATTCAGTGCAAACTCTGTCCCCTCCCATACTAGTCTATGTGGAAACGCACCAGACTACCTCACCAGTTCTTCCACAACAACAAGATACCTCCATTCACACAAAAATAACCATCTCACCTGCTCAGAGCCAAGCTGCACACAAAGGTGGTCGAGCCTTTCAGATGGCAGCTCCAAGGTTGTAGAATCCCTGCAGAATCATATGTGAGCTCCACAGAGTGAGGAGTAGAAAACTCTTACAGACCTTTTTATTCTCAAAAGCTTGTCCATAGCTTTCCATTATTCTCTTGCATGTTTTGACTGTTAATGTAATTTTAATTAGCATTTAATGTGAATTTTCTGTTTTAATGGTGCTTTTAGCACTTTGAGATAATCATGATCATTATTATTATTATTATTATTATTATTATTATCCATCCACTTGTCCACGTGGGGTTGGAGGTAACTCCAGCGGCCAAAGGGCAATCAGGCGGGGTACACCCTGGACAGAGAGGCAGTCCATCGCAGGGCAACACAGAGACACACAGGACAAACAACCATGCACACACTCACACCTAAGGACAATTTAGACAGACCAATTGACCTAACATTCATGTTTTTGGGGAGGAAGCCGGAGTACCCGGAGTACCCGGAGAGAACCCACACATGCACAGGGAGAACATGCAAACTCCATGCAGAAAGATCCCAGGCCGGGAAGCGAACCCAGGACCTTCTTACTGCGAGGCAACAGCTCTAACCACTGCATCACTGCGCAGCCCCTATTATTATTATTTTATATATACATATATATATATTTTTTAATTATAAAAAATAAGGTGTGTTTTTGTGCAAGGTCATTTATTTATCGATCCTAGTGAACACATTTCAGTGTTTAACCACATGGAAACTTTATTCCAATAAAAGCAAAAGCATCATGAAAGTTAGAAGAAGCGAAGCTTCGAGAACATAAAGAACCAGGATGAAAGAGCTTTTCATTGGTGAGTTGACATTTCATTGTGTCCGGGGTGAGATGCCTGTTTGTCTCTGTCTGCTTGACTGTAATCTCAACTAATTGTGTTTAGAAAACACTTTAGCTGGAAGACTTCCTGCTATTTTTTTCTTTTTTTTTAAGAAGAAGCCCACAAAAGGGAAACCTGAACCTACGCAGGGTGACTTTATCGGTGTGTCGCTGCCTTCTGCTGTTTTTTTTACAAGAGCTGTGTTTGATACGGCCTTTGATGAGACAAGATGGACGAGTAACATCAGATTTCTTTAAGTTTAACTTAGATTTGTATCGTGCTACAATTGAAACATGCAGTTCCAGGGATGTGATTGTGGATTTTGAGATACAAGTCCTTACAGGATGCCCAAGTTAACGTTTTCTTCATTCTCGTGGGAGTGCTGTTAGCTTTTGGGCAAAAGGCCAAGAGTACATCTGTATCCTCCGACTTGTGTGAGGGGGACTGCAGAGTGAAAGTGCAGGAAGCAAGTGTGAAGATTTTCCTCAGGAAACAGAGTCCATTTCCACTTGGCTTGTAGGCTGAACCGGAATTTGTTTTGCGTAAGCAGAGCGGGTCAAAAATAACGGCGTATAAATGCAGAGAGCTGCTGGACGCCGCGAGCCACAAGAGCAGCGCGAGTCCAGGGGGAAGGAGCCAAAGGCTCGGCGTGAAAATTCAACAGACGGTACGGTTTAGTAACAGGAAAAGGCTTTTGAACCTGAAGCACGCAGGGAAACCCTAGAAAGCCCGTTTATTCATTAGGATTTATGAAATTTAACTGAACATCCACCAGTTTGAAAACAGCAGTTTAAAGGCTTCTGTAAATAAAACTTATTTTCTATATTGAGTTGTGTTTTAACAATACGTTTTGTGGTTCATACAATTATAAGATAGCAAAACTTTTCTTTTTTTTTTCGTTTAATGCATTGATTCAATTCTGCTTCTGTATTTAACCAAATGTACATCACAAGACATCTGAATGAAGAATCCATAACTATGTTTCCATGGAAACCAGATCTGTAAAACAAAGCATTTTTTAAATAGCTATTATTTTTTGCCACATTTATGGATGACAGTCAGTTGCCAGATCTAAATATAGCTACATTTAAATCTTCAAGTCCAAAAGTAAAGTTGGTTCTGTTACCTGGCAGAAAGAGGGTTGCAGGTTCAAACCCCAGCTGTGGCCTTGTTTTGTGGAGTTTGCTTGTTCTCCATTCATGCATGGTACAAATGCTAATTCTCACAGTATAGATGTAAAATGTATTTGTTTAAACATTCGTTTTAACAATAATTTCCCATACAAAATCACACCTTTAAGTGTGTATCTGGCCTGTCTGAAGCATTTTCCTTGCATCTATTCTGCTTCTGTAGCAAATATCATCTAGCAGAAAACCAGCTTTTTTTGTTCTGGTGTTTGGATCAGTCTTAGGTCTGCAGATATTGTATTTTTAAATATTTCACACAAATACTGTAGTCTCCTTTTTCCAACTCTGACTGATTTTCAACTGATCTTCTGCCAGTTTTCTCGTTTCCTACCACCTTCTTCTCTTCTTCTGCTGTAGTCTCTTTATCCACTGATCTGATTATTTATCCTAACACTTATCACCACAACTTAAAAAATAATCCAACACTGACTATTTGTTAAGTTCATCAGCAATTTGGAGTAAGGAGCACAGATTACTTGGCTTTTAAAATGTAACAAATGGGAGTAGCATCACACCAAATACTTTCATATATCTTTATCCAGTTTGGCTGAACTGTAATTATCTGAAACTGCTAAAGAGTAACAGCCTTAAAATAAATGTGTCTGATTATTTAAAAACTCAGCTAATTTGTTTAAATTCTGCATTTTTGTACAATGTGCATTTATTATTACATTCAACTTCCTTTATTTCAGTCCATCCATCCATCCATCCATCCATCCATCCATCCATCCATCCATTTCATCTGCTTATCCGGAGTCGGGTCGCGGGGGCAGTAGCCTAAGGCGAGAGGCCCAGACTTCCCTCTCCCCAGCCACTTGGGCCAGCTCCTCCGGGGGAATCCCAAGGCGTTCCCTGGCCAGGTGATAGACATAGAAAGGTTCTCGTTTAAAGACCCACTTTTACACTTTGGCTTTTAGACAGTGACTCGTTTTAGTGTTTTATTGTGTCATTGTTTTAATGTGTTCTTATTATTCATGTTTTCTCTGCTTTTAATTGAGATTTTTATCCTTTGTTTTAGCTCCTTGTAATGGGTGTGTTTTGTTTTAGCCTGTGCAGCACTTTGGGCAGCTCCCATGCTGCATTTTAAATGTGCTATATAAATAAACTATGCTATGCTATGCTATAGTCCTCCATCGTGTCCTGGGTCTACCTTTAGGTCTCCTCCCGGTTGGACGTGCCCAGAAAACCTCACCAGGGAGACATCCAGGAGGCATCCTGACCTGATGCCCGAGCCATCTCAACTGGCTCCTCTCGATGTGGAGGAGCAGCGCATCTACTCCGAGCCCCTCCAGGATGACCAAGCTTCTCACCCTATCTCTAAAGGAGAGCCCAGCCACTCTGCGGAGAAAACTCATTTCGGCCGCTTGAATCCGCGATCTCATTCTCTCCGAAAGAACGAGATTTATTTGAATTTCACTTAAAATATCTTAAACTTCATTTGGCTTT